TTTAAATATCTATACTTTTTTCATATTTAAAATACTTAAAAAAATTATAATAGTAAAATCAAAAAGATTTTTATAATATTGCATGCCAACTTATACCACCTACATTAATTATGTGATTCTAAGAACCAAGTTCCAAATTAATTAAAAATAAATAAAAGTATATAATAATAATAATAACCCTTCACTTTATATCAAATTAGATATTTATTATATACAACTGTCATTTATAACATGTATGCAATCGTTTTCGGTTAAACTATAGTTATGAAATGTGATCAACAAAGGTAATTATAAAATATGTTGAGACATTCAGTTAATTTAGATTGTATAATTGAAAAAGATCATGATACGTTTGAAAATCATTTTAAATAGAGATATTGGGTATATTTGAACTAAAGTATACCAATATTTTTTTATTTAATTGCTACATTTGACCCATGGTTATGCTTTGAGAAGTTTTTCAAAAACTATTTTGAAATTAATTTACCTACTCATATCATGTTTATATTTATTTTAATTTTTTTTAATGTAAAATACAATTTTGATTACCTATTTTAAACTTCTTGATACAATCTATAGTTGTTAACACTGTATATAATATAATATAGCTGAAAAGTCAAAGGTAAACAAGTATAATATTGTTTATTAATATATATATGTATATTATTGTGTGCATCGTATCCACATAGTGAAACCATTCAATGAAATTCATTCAGATCGTGAATTTTGACGAAAATACATTATATAGACATCTATTTCATGAAATAGTTAATATTTAAATTGTGTATTTTGTGTAATTGCTATAAAAAAAATTGTTTTTTTTTTTTATTTAATTATAAGTTATATTATATTTTAATTTATTTTTCATAAGCTATACGTATATTATATTTTATAAATAACAGTTTTATCTATAAAATATTACCATGAAATAATATTCTTATTATTTATCTTTACGGGAAGATTGGTTATAACTTAAACTATTACATTAAATAAGTTGTTTCACTATGTGGATGTGACATATACATGCACAAAGTAACAATATATGCATATGCTATATTGATAATTAATATATGCTTTTGATACATAAATAATAAAGTCCTTACATAATACATATGCATAAATAACGATATGTGTATCTTTTGAAAATTGTATCAATTAAAAAAAATTTTTCGTTTGGAAATCAGTTTACGATAATCACAAATATGTAAATATTATTTTATATTAAATATCACATAAATAATATGATATAATATTAGAATTTATATTTTATTTACTTATACCTATATACTATATACATTAGTATAGGGTTAAAGTTGACTAAAGATTTAAAATACAATTTTTTTCGCCCAACGTTTTTTCTACAATAAACTTAAAGGTTGACCCAAATTCGTAGACTAACATAGCGATATCGAAATCTTGGTAGTGTCACCAACGTCAAGGGGTTTCACGCGAGAGGTACTTTTGCATTTTAAATAAAAGGAACTGAAAATAAAATATAAACATCACTAGACCATCGTATATATTCTCATCAATAGTTTACACACACACACACACACACACATACACAAACAACGAATAATATAATACAGTGTTTTGTTCTTATACTTTCTGATACATGCACGATGTGACAGCTAAAGTTCAATAGCTTTTACTTATACCAGTATGCGAGTATATAATAAACTCTTCTTTTTATATTTTTTATAGTTTAAAATTAAAATTCTATCGATTCCATAAATAGCATTTTAAGAATAATTTTATATTAAAGCACGTAATAAAAAAATATTATATTCTATAATTAATCTGTAATAGTAAACTTTATTTAGGTTTATATATTTATTACTTCATTAAGTAACTATAGTTTATAGTTACCTAATAAAGTAATAAATATAATCTATAATTTTATCACTGGAAAAAATTAAATCAATTCTATCAGATATAGCTTAGTAGCTATATTAATTACATTAATTGTATTATATTTTCATGGATATTTAAAAATTATTAAGTTACAAAATATTATCTGAGTATGTAGCTAACTTATGAAATGTAGAAAATTTTAACCAATAAAAACGTTTTGAAATATTTCGAAATTCTTTATGGAAAAACATTATCAATGTACACAATACGTATACGTACCTACACAAGTATAAAATACCAGATTTTCTTTCACTGAACTCCAGTAATGATACTCGACAAGTTTTTATGTATAAATACTATATACTTAGTATATTATACTGCTCGTAAGCAGTATAATATTTGTATGAAGGTTTTTAGAATTTATACAAAATAAAAATATAAATTACAAGAGATATACTAATGAGGGACAAAGTGGACACACGATACATATTTAGCCTTCATGATTTTGTATACTGTCTAATATATTATTTAATTGTTTATATTGAACTGCATAACTTTATTCATATAATCGTTTATAAAATATATACTTGGAGTATTCCGTTTATTTATTTAACTACGAGTATTAATGTATTATAAAAAAATAATTAATATGGAATTTAATAATATTATGTTTATTTAAATTAAAACATTTTACCTCATATAATATAAAATAAAAATATTATTTTCTTGTTAAAAAAAAATACATGTAATAAGAAGTATTTATAAATAACCATCATTAGTATTATACAATTTGTATAAATATATTGATATAATTATTACATAATATATAATTGGTCTTCCTTCAATTGATCTATCACAGTATCACCTAGATTTAAAGTTGAAATTATTTGTCCTTATTTTGTATTGTACTATGTTACTAATTCTTCTTGTCTCATTAAATTTTTATATTAATTGTAGAGCTGTAATAGTTAAATTTAAAAATCTTCCACAGTTAAAAAAAAAAACAAAAAAAAAAAAAACTTTGAAAATTCCTTAAATTAGTTTTAAAAAAATCACAATTATTTTTTTACGTGTTTGCTTGTTTTGAACGGGGTGAAACTAAACAATAATTAATAACATTAATTTATATTATATCGGAGAAATTCTAAAAACTGTTGTAATTTAAATCGATAAAAACAGTGAATATAAATGATAACACTAAATATTTACACAAAATATATTATTAATCATGAATATGGTCACAAGGCGAGGAGATTGAAAAATTCCGGTGTAATTGAAAAGCATATTTGTATACGATATTATAATACTATCATATTTTTGTAGTTACATCATGGTAAAAAATTTAAATATATTATGCTTTATGTTAATTATTAAATAGAGAGTGAGAATACAAATCGAATTGACTTCGAACACTATATTTACGCAAAAAAACTAAAATAAATTTTTTTTTTTTATTGAAAGTATCAATTAATTTAAGCACTTTAAAAACTTCCTTTTAAGAAAATATTTTAGAATAGTTCATTGAACTAAATTCGTATTTTTAAAATTTACCTATATAATAAGTTTTTTAAATTGAAAATTCTTAAATATGTTAACTTTTTTCACGTGTATAATATACATAGATACTTATTTATTTTTAATAACAATTGAGTTTAAGCTTGTAAAAAAAAAAAAAAAACAAAAATATTATTTAACTAAATATATATATCGATATGATAACACTATACAGTACACATATTATACTCTATTCCAAATAAGATGACTTGCGTTTGGGCACGGTGGGCGATGGTTAACGGGCAGCACGCAAACATTATCAGTTAGGCAGCATGACGCGACGACCGGTTTCGCAACGCGAGCGGTTGCAAGCGATCTACTCCAATGCAAACCGAACGTAATTCGGTCATTTACGCACAAGTCATCTTATTTGGAACAAAGTATACATACTATATAGTAATACATTTAGATATGGTAGGTAATATTGTTACTTGTTGGTTAAGTGTATTTATTAATTACCTACCTAACACACTTTCATTTTTTTGTTTTGTTCTTAATCGTATATAAGATATAAGATAAGCTTTAAAATATAACGTAACCTAAAAAAAATCTTTGACTTTTAATTTTTAAACGATACTATTTAAATATTTGATATATTCTTTAAACAAAATGTATGAATTGTTATTAATTTTTACTCATAAAAAATCACAAACACTTAACAGTATAAACATACTACTTACCTCATATTTTTAAATAGCTTTATTACATTACCATTAACCAGACAAGTATTTAATATTCAATAAATTATTGTTTTACTAATTTATATTAAATTTAAAAGTGTTTGTCGTAAAGAATGCAAGCTTAAATTTTATAAGAATTACAAAATATAATATGTAATAAAAAAAAAAACATCTTACTGAACTACTCTTTAAAACTATGTAAATTAAGGCTTATATTTTATGACAAATGAATTATTTTAACTTAGTGTTAATAAATAATGTAAATTCTCAATTTGTATAAATCTACTATTTTAATCAACAGTTTTTATAGATAAGTTTTATATTTTGACTATAAAACTAACGCTCATCATTTAAATAATTGTTGTTGAATTTTGAACTTAATATAAATGGTATTTCAAAAGAATAATATTAGCTATATCATAATTATCACCTAACGAATGTATAAGCAAAAGAGTACTTACCTAGTTTCTACCAATGTTTACCATTACTAATTAATAACATTACTATTAATAATAGTTGTTATTAATGGTAATTAATTACCATTAATAACAACTACTTTCAGAAGAAAAAAATTGTAACTATTAATCTTAATTTAATTTTTTCGTTTCATACTATCGATATTAAGTACCTATGAATAGGTTTGCATTTATTCAATAATAGTATCATATTATTGAAGTTTATGAAATGAAGAATACACTTTTTTTCTTAACGAATCTGGACATTTGTTTCTAACCACAAATCAAAAAAACGTTGTTGATTTTTTTGTTCGATAATTACTAAATTATTAAATCATTGAGTTAAAGTCGTTTATTAATCCATTTAATATAATATAATAAGGTTACTATGGTAATGATGTTACTCCAGACGATGTCACTAGATTCAATTACATTTTGTAAATCACTATATACTTACATATAACTTCCATTCGGCCACCATCTTGTGCGGAAGCAAACGACGGAGCTTCTGCAGAAACTTCGCACCGGTAATTAGCTGTGGTTTTCAATGTTATGTCCCTCAACGTTAACTGTCGACTGTTGGATTGCATATGCTGCACAAATAAATACATAAAATAGAAAATGTAAATTTAATTGCTACACGACTGCATCGAAAAGGATGTATTTGTGGCGGTAGAGTGGGGGAAAATAGTAACTGAATACTTACATCAACTTTAATCCCATCCACCGCATAAGACGTCTTCTGAGGTTCTGACTTAGGCACAAACCGGTAAAACTCTTCGTTTTCGCGGTACCATTTGACGGCGTACAGAGGAGCACCTTCCAGCTCGAAGTCACACCGGAGCACGGCTGTCTCCCCACGAACCTTGTACCGAGGTACTACCGCTTTTACGGTCAGTCCGTCACCTATTTAGAAAATGATTCGATGACATTAGACGTATCATGACTTATGAGTTTATCCTAATGGTATTATTGTATTTTACATGTATCTGATAAATATGGTAATAATATAACAATGAATGTTATGAATTGATTTTATACAATGTCGTTGGATTTTTTTGTCTATGGTTAGTCTTCAAGCAACCTAAAAAATTCTTGATTTCACCGGTCAATATTAAATATCATATTATCAGTTTTATGCTTAGATTTTACACATTTATTGACATTAAACAACAAAATCATAATAATGGTCTTAAATAGTGTGTCAAAAATAAACTATTGTTTATTTGTGTATACCTCTGAAATGTATGAAATTCAACTTCGAATAAAAGATTTGTACAAGCACAATGAATATTTTATTTTAAGATTAGCACTTTTGTTGTTTCTGTATATAAATAATAAAACATGTTTTCTGTAAACAAATCACCCAAATATTTGATTCCGTCCGTGTTTTTTTATTTATTATATTATTACGCAAAGCAATATAATTGTTGCATTGCCCTTTGCCGTGATCAAAAATCTGAGGCACATAAAATGTCGCAAACCAAAAATTTGTCGAAATACCATTACTATACATAGCTGCACTTTTTCAGGAAACGACCCTTTCTGTACTATAAATATCTTAATAATATATGATGACGAATTTATGATGTACTTATAGTAATAATATTTAAACTAATTACTAACTATAAAAACGTTTAGTTTTTCTACGGTTTTTCAAAAACGATAAATTTGGAAATAATCGATTTTTTGATTCAAGTCTGAAAATATAATATGATAAATACACACACAAACTAGAATAAAATAATGTAGTTTAATATATCATAAAGTACTTTTCGGCAGATTAACATTGATAAAAAGTATTGTTGTTAATAGGTTATTTTAAAGACTAAAGTCTTAAAAAAGTTTCTGACCTACAAAAAATACACATTTTTTTATAAATAATTTATACAATAAAATGAACAATACATCTATAATCTATATTATAGTAAGAGACAAGAGACGAACAAGTGTGATACATAAAAATAAATATATTTTTAAAGTGCCACCAATATATTATATAAGAAACATACATTTTTTTGTCCATTAAGTTCTCACCTATATTAAAAGTAGTATTTTATATTTGAAAATAATTTTCGTTTATATAAGATAGATGTTAACAAATACATTTTTTATGTGTAGTTTAAAATTGTATTTTTAATGTTTTTACTCGTATTTTAAGAGGAATTTAGTTGTTTTATGGAAAGCCCAAAAATATAATCTTATTTAAAACAAAATTGTTTTAATGTTATTAAAATTTAAACTTCATTCAATTTAATTTTAAAAGCAATTATAAACTTGTCGACAGGTTTCAGTGACTTATCGCATTTCCCTCTTTCCATATTAATATATTATAGTTCATATAACATAGAGACTATAGAGGTATTGCATTGCACTTTAACTAAAACTTTGCGAAAAGAACTGCGAGAAATTATCAGGTACGTCAGTGTTCGAAGACTTCTTACTCTGAAAAACTTACAACGTGGTATTTATAGTCATATTAAATTTTAGCTATGATAACTAAGTCTCCCTTAAGTGCCTCCTAATATTCTAAAACCTCGACAGTGTAATTAATTAGTTCCAAATATTTGTGAACGATCGTAAATTCTAAAACTTTTTTTTTATTATAAACTATTTACAGTTCTCTCGAATTGAAAGATTTTACATATTTCTAATCGTATATTATACCAAAACTATATTTTAAAAGCTGTTAGAGTAATTTAAATGTTTTACACGAACCAAACATTAAAACGCAACTTATATTAATATCTTTGAACATATATCACACGCATCACCATCGTACTTAAATAATTGTTGTAAGTATATTGCTTAACACACATAACGCATATTGTTTTTAAATATTAAACAAACACGGATAATTGAAATTTAAAAAGCAAAATTCATAGCGTTTTTTTCGAATATTCATTATAACCACGAAAAATCGTGAGAGAGTTGTTTTTCGGAAGGTCAACAATTCTCGAACCACCTATTTAATATTATGATCGTTATCCTGCCGGTGAAGTTTAAAATAATAATTCTATGCTTACAATTCTGCGTAGTGTTTACACCTAGCTAGTAACTATCCATATCTACTCGGTCCGATCGTATGTATAATGATGACACTAGATACAAATAATAATAACAGTGGCGCGAATTTAGAGCTGGCTGAATATCCTTTTCTAGCAACAGTCTGATCGTTTCAACATCACGGCCATTACAATGAAATATAAAACAATAATACCTTATATATTCGCATTGTAATGATAATATCGTAGAATGCGGAATACGCGGTACAAGGGGTTAATGATGTACGTTTTGTGTATTTTGTCACAATAATATAATATGACTTAACCCAACGAAACGCTATTCTCGCATTAAATCTATACATTATGTATGTGTGTGTGTGTGTGTGTGTGTGTGTTTGGGAATTCATCGGGTTTCGGGATAATCGGCTGTTAATATGGATGAGGTGTGGTCGTCGCCAGCCAATATTAATAATATCTCAACCAAATACACCTATATATAATACTATAATAGTAATAATAATAATAATAATATGCTACTCCATTTGCCTATATTGCCGGTACGCATTATTAGACGCATATATAATATTATTATAATATACAAACGAACAACACGGAAAACATATTATTGCAGTTGATAGCTTATGCATGTGTTATAATGTCATGTATTTCTATAACACTGCACGTGTATTAGAATACAAATCATAATTCATAATAATTACACGATGATAATCGGAGTGTTAAACTGCTGCAGTTACCACGACAGTCACGAAAAATATTAAAGTATAATACGTCTGATGATGGTAACTTATACATAGGTAATAATAATATATTATGCGTATCGTCGTTAAGCCCCAACCGTCGCTGGCTAGTATTATATTATAATAATAATAGTTATACGACCCTAAAATGGTACATATTTTTAAGAACTCTGAGTGTATAATATTAAACTCTATTACTGCTGCATTATTACGACAGTGTAAAATAACTTTATACAATAATTATTATTGTCGAGTTTAATAGCCTCATTTTATAAACCGTCACTGCTAAATGCGTAACACCTACCACCAAACCATTTTATAGTCTATTTAGACTAAAAGCACTAATGATTAATTTAACGGACAGGATATTTTAATACCTATATTAAAACATTTTAGATATCACCATCTATAAAGAAGACAAATTTGATGATTTTTTTGGATTGATATTATAATCTATAATATATTAATTATTATGACAAACAATTAACAATACCACTGATACACGTATTGTCTGTAAGAGACAGTCTTACTATTATGGAAAACGTCTTAAACATTAAAAATAAATATTGAGAGCTAAAACAAAATCAATAAAGTTCTCTGCAAAAGTGTTGAGTACTTTATAGTATTAATATTCAAGATATCACGTCAAGTTTTGTAGTTGCCTAATGTGTTTACGAACCTGCAGACAGACAGTAAATTTAAATTGGATTTCTCGGACCAAAGAAGGTGTGAAACGTGCATGGACATTCATAAATAAATTAAATCGTTTAAAATATAAATAAATCCTCGTCGACTTCACGAAAGACATAAATGTTTTTATTCATAATCTATTGAAAAAAAAACACCGGGCGTAAAATACTATTTTTTTTAAATCTTCAAAACATTATTAATTAATTTTGTTCTACACTGCAGTAAACCGATTTAAAGTAACACGTCGTTTATATTTTTTTAAATGTGTTAACATACTTAAATTTACAGTTTACTCAATTTTTTTGAATTATAAAATACTTATTGACTTTTGTTATTTATTTATAACTTATTATTTTTCATCATATACTTTTGCCGTTGTTTTTTTTTTTTTTTAATTTCAATCAAATATATTAATACACTCATAAAATATTAATGTAATGATAATACTTTATGTATACTTTATGTAATGACAGTATAATGTGTGTAAATGTATATATGGATTCTTCTTTTCGCACACTTAACGAATTTTATGAGCGTTTTATTTAAATTATTTTAACTTGGCACAATTCCCTTAATTCATACCAATAGTTTTACATCTAAAGTGTTATGTTATAATTTTACGGATTTACTTAGACCATGAATAGATAAAGTGTGTGTGTGAATAAATTCATAAATACAAAATAAACAAACATTTTTTTATAAACTAAATCAGAAATATTTATTTTTATTGTATTACAATCATTCAAAATGTAAATAGCTAATCAGCGAATTTCTTTAATGATATTAATATTTACTATAAAAAATATACTTTAAAATTTCAACATATGTTGGTGAAAAAAATTATTTGTAAGAAAAAATAAATGTGTTTTTTTTTTATAAAAATAACAGAAAATCGAATTTCAAATTATATGTGACGTTGTTTATCTAATTACCGATATGTCGATTTGAATAAGAAACATTAGTATTGTACGTATTTTAAATGTTGATGAAATTTTACAGTCTTATCTTTTAAAACCTACATAAGTTTAAGTTAAAAAAAATTCGATATTTCGTTTTTTACTGTTACCATTATCTTTTTACGTTGAATCACATTATTTTCTAATCAAATTCAATTGACATTTTTAAAACTCAAATATTGGAATTACATTAATGCGTTTTTTTTTCTCACAAATTAATATTATGTCCGTTCATATTATCATTAGCTTACAAGTTATTATGAATGGCAAAAGACAAAAACATATTCAACAATTTATAAAACGCATTTATAAGTATTCTAGAAAAAAAAAATCAAACATTTATCAATCTTATTTATAAATACTTTCAAATAAAAATAAATCTATCTGAATATGTACTGAAAAAATTTCAAAACACCGTCAAATTATGCCACTATTAAAGAACTCAGATATTGATATGGTATTGATATGATAACATCTAGTTATATTAGATGGAGAAA